TATTTTTTAATATTGGTATTATGTATAATAGTATTATTTTAGTATTTGTAGTATTATTTAGTATTTATTTTATAAAGTTTTTTGTTAGTTATATTACTTGTGATCTTTTTTTTTCTGCATTTTCTGTTCAATTATTTGAAGTTAGTAGTATTTTATATAATATGCTAAGATTTTAGAGGGTTAAAATATCACAAAATTAACAATCTCAAATTCGAAACATTTTTTTTCTGTTTCTTGCTAAGATCATCTTTTTTTCCTGACAAACAAATCCGAAGAACAGAAAAACCGAGCCAGTCACTCAGCGAGACACTCAATTTCTGACTCATTCACCATTCAAAATACGGGGGCGTTGGAAAGGTTTTGGTTTTTTTTAAATAATGGTAGGGGTGATGATTTAAGAAACAACGATTCAGCCAATCCGGTATGAAGCGCCTTTTAAGTGTTTACGCTTGTTTTATTAATTCCTATCATACATCTTCGACTGTCAGCGATCGCCTTCAACTTCTTACATTCAATAATCACTCGATAACGATCAACCAAGACAAAAGTTATCTTAAAGAAAATAAAGCCATACAAGAAACCCAAGAATCTGAAATATCCACTATGGGAAAGTAAACTTACGAACAAATATGTATTCCAACTTGATTGACATATTCAAATGCTTGCAAAATAGTACTTATATACCCAGCTCATTCAGAATTTTGCTGAAATCTTAAGGTCTTTCAAATTTAAAGCGCCATTTTAGGAAGCATTCGCATTTTGCCACCGACTGTCAGTTATTTTGGCAACTCGGTTTCCGTTCCCGACTGTGACAGTCCAGACCCAGATCTGCCAAAGACAACTGGCCCAGATGACGGCAGCAGTGCAGTCAATTGACCGCTAACTGTTGCAGGACTCCTCGCCATTCCACGTCCTTCGAATTTGTGGCAGCCACAACGTGTGGCAGACAGCTTAAGACTCTGCCTGACGGGATGTCCACATACTTGCCACACTGAGCCAAAAAAGGGGGGGAAATCAAATGATTTATTCACTAATTTAAACGTACATATTTCATGAACATATCAAAAAAATATTTAGAATTCAAGTATAATCTTCTGAATTCTAGAACTAATTTATATATTATAGAAATATAAGGAAAAATTATTTAATAATAAATAAACGACATATTGAATGTGAGATACCTCTTTTAAAATTCGATTTTTACCGATACCTGATTGGTAATAATTTCTTTTCCCAAATTTAAAATTATATTAGGCTCAAGTCTAAATATCGTTTTATAAAAAAATTTTTAAACAATCATATGTGGCTGGTAATCACATTTTAAGTAAACGATATTATATAAAATCTTATAACAACATGTAAAATATTGCATATACATTTTTAAAAAAATTTTATATAATTTCCAAAGAGTTTTTAAAAAAGCTAGATACAAACTAACTACTTGAAAAATATTTTTAATAACAAAATCAAATGCAAAAATACAAGGTAGATGGTATTCCAGAAATGGGAATCAAAGTATCAAGCATTTGACACCATATTTAGTTAGTTCCCCAGATTTATGGCTGATTTTTTATGGTGCAGGATAACGTGGGCGGGGGGATGGAAAGTGGTAGTGGGCCAGGATAAAGGCCTTGTCGTTGACAGTCGTCATGCGCAGCTACTTAGACGGACATAAAATTATGATTACAGCAAATGCCACATGCTCCACATGCCACTCCCCCTGGTGAGATAGGAAAAAAAATAGGAAAAATCAGCGGAGGGGCGGAAAAATCCGAGGCAATTCATTACAATAAGCTCACGAATGTGCCATAAAAATGGCAGCTCTCTTTCTGCGGCACTGCACCCGAACCATGAAATTGCCAATTCCAATCCGGTTTTAGTTGTAAAAACTTTCATGATCCCCACATTAATAGAATATGCCATGTACTCCGCTCAGCCAGCTCCCGATAATCTCTCATCTTTTGGCAAGGCCATTATGGATTGTTCCCACCGCAGGTTTTCGTATCTGAAACTTCGCCCCCAAGGAGCAGGTCCTTTGTGCGTCAATCTGTTGAGTTTATTTTAATACTAAGAGGACTTAGTGGCTGAACTAAAGGTTGCATTAAATGTGACTGCCTTTCGGATATATACAATTTAAGGCGGTCTAACTGCTAAAGATACTTTATAAACAAGAAATAAAGTATATTACCGAATATTCGTTGTATATTTACAACTTAAGCTGAAGATATATTTAAGCTTTAAGCAAATAAGACTTGTCTGCCAAGGAAAACAAATACAAAGGTTTAAAATATGTAAGGGAATATTCAATGCCATCAAATAAGAGTTCTTCTCTCTTAATTAATTACTATACATTTTTAAAATCCTGTTCTAAAGATTTTAAAAGAAATATACTAATAAATATTCATTGCCATTAAGTCATTTTGATTTAAGTCTTATTAATTTTGAAGTACAAAAATAAAAGATATATTATTTACAACATTTCCAAAGATATTTCTTAGCTTTATAAAAATAGACATATCTTAGAAAAAGAAAATAAATATATTAATCAATGTTTATTGCATTTAAATGATTTTTCTTCTTTTCACAATTGATTGTTTTATAAAGAAAAGGTAAAATATATTTTTTTACAGCATAATCTAAGAATGTATTGCTCCATTTTTAGGAAATTATTTGGGAAATACTAAAAAATATACTTTTAAAAGTTACTGATTGCACAATCTAATTATTAAAATGTACCATCTTTGCGGCACACTTTATGATAAATTTATTTTTTTCCCCAGATAGACGTGAGTTTTCCAGAGCCATAAAGAGTTTCCTTCTTGTCGGACCAAATCTCGCCCACACCTGACATAATTAACCGTCGCAAAATCTCGCCCAAAATTAAGACCCTCCTGTTCTAGCCCCCTCCGCAGTAATTTAGTGTAAACAAACCACTTGACTGTATCTCGTCGTCCCGGTTTTGAAAATCCACTGGTTACCGCCTCACTTTTTAAGCCTGGTCCATTGTTTGTGCCCCATGGTTTCCATTCCATTCAGAGGAATATCCGATGCTCGAGGAGCTCTTGGAGCTTTCGGAGCTCCGCAATCATTAGCTGTAACATTAGCGTCTGTCTTGCGGTGCAAACTTTCGGCTACCTGAAACGCTTTTCCGCTTTTCCCCCCACTCGGGAAAATCCATCCCAAAATGTGCAAGAAGCACAAGTAGAAGTCCTGCAGAAAAGCCGAGAGGACGAGGGAATCCAATGGCAATGGTTAAACCTATAAAACCACGTAATCTCCAAGCGAGTTCTTTAATTATGCTGCACACAGCCACTGGAACTGGAATTGGAACTGGAGCATCAGGTGGCAGGTGGGAAAATCGGGGGGGAGAAAAACTGGGGGGCGGCCAGAGGGCGTGGCAGGACACACAAACAGGGCTGAAGGACGAGAAATCCAGAGGAGCAGAGCAAACAAAATGCGAGGCGAAAGCCGCTTACAAAACCGCAAAATGCTACGGACATCTTTTTGCCAGATGGGGTTGGGTTGGGTTTTCCGAGAGAACTTTGGAGCGGGAAAATGGGGAAAAATTGTGAGGACTGTCAGGGGGGGGCGGGGGAGGGGTCTCCGGAAAACTGGGGACAAAAAAGGCGAATCCAATGGCCACAAAAGGCAGCCATTTTGAAGTTTGGCGCTGCGGCTTTGGTGTCTCCACATCTGCCTGGGATTACAATGGAGCTGCACTTGTAGATGAGATACGAGACGGTGGAAAGCCCCGGGAAAGCGGGAAAAGCCGGCTGAGAGATGGAGAAAAAGGCGGACAGCCAGGCGGACTGGCGGACCGATAAACAAACAAACTGCGATCCGGCGAACACGACTGCCAATGCGAAACCATTTTGCGAATTTAATTGCCGTTAACATGAGGCGAGCTTCAGTTTACTCCGAACTTCCGGAACACGGAAAGAAAGGCTTTCATTTTAAAATATAAAAAAAATATTCTTGATATCAAGAACTTTTTTAGGATTAAAAAATAGTATTATCATCAGCTTCAGTTTACTCCAAACTTCCGGAACACGGAAAGAAAGTCTTCCTTTTTAAAAATAAAAAAAATATGTTCTTGATATCAAGAACTATTTTTAGGTTCAGAAAATTGTATTATCATCAGTAATATATCACTTTTTTTAATCTTTTCCTTTTATTTTCCTTACTATACATTTTATAAACTATTATTTCCCACATTTTCGAGTGCATCTGCTGCCTTTGGACGGGGTTCGGGTAACATGAGCCTCAAAGGGAGCCATAGTCCATCCGGAGATTAGAGGGCAAACGTTGACATTGTGGAGGTTCCTTCGGCACTGCACTCCCCCAATATTGTTCTGTCTTCCCAAAACTCCCGACGACAACTCCACTTCACCCACTTTTGTCACCCCAAAAATTCCGCTTGATGGATTTAAGTCGGGTTTCGATGACAGGAACAGCACACAGGGGCAGTAATCCAGAGGAAAAGAGGGGACTAAAATCAGATTAAACCCTTGATGCGCCGAGAAAAAACGTTTAAGTTACAGTTGATGCACAAAGTGCTTGCATACGATTCATAATACCCATCACAGACTGTAGGTCTATGAGAAAGATTTGTTAAGAAGCGATAATAATATTGTAATATTAGTTACTTATTTTAAATTTGTTCTAAGATCTTTTGAAGTTTGTATACTTATTTTTTAAAGATTTTATAAATACTTGTATAATATTTCTAAAAATGATCCCTATTGTAGTAAACTAAACAACTTAAGGACTATTCAAAAATCATTAACCAAAACAATTTTGAATAATATATGGCCGCATTACCAGTTGATATATGATAATTGTTGCACAATATTTATGAGACTTATTATTATAGTAATTAATGTCTGAAGTTTTCATTTTAAAAAGTTCAGTCGTGACACATATTGTTTCCTAAAAACCCTTCTGAATGTCAAAGTTCCATTTGATATAGTAATACTTTTTATAAGATATCTGAACTGCACTTACCCATTTGAGTCCCCTGGCGATATAGGCTTAAGTTGCTGATCTGAACGGAGGTTATCGCTGATAATATAATCTGTAAGAAATAACAGAGGTAAAACCGAATGAAGTAAACCTTTGGTAAAGAGTTAAGAAGCTTTCAAAACTTGTCCCAAGCTTTTAGTCCTAACAGAAATGTAAAATCGCTGTGCAGACTCTGCTAAAGGAAAACTTTCTCCAAAGGACGAAAAGCTTTTCGAAAAACATTGCCAGTTTGCCAAAGTGTGACAAAAAGCTTGATGTTGAAAGCTGAAGGGATTTTATGAAATTTCCCTGCTTTTATTTCCCTGATTAAAAAATGTTTCCCTTTCTTTTCCTTTTTTATTTATATAAACTATGGCACCTTTAAATTAATGCCTAGAAAATAGTATTATCAATTATAATGTTTCTTAAACTAAGGGGCATTTCCAACTCCTTTCCAAAAAAACAAAATTGGAGCATGTATAAAAGCTGCACCCTCAAGAAAAAAAATTAACATGATTTATATTCAAAATCGATTAATTTATTTAGGATTTTAAAATTTTAAAATTTTAAAATTTATTTATACTCCTTAAAAATGTGAGAATCAACGCCAGATCTCAAACCTCTAAAGCTACAGCTACACAATTTTTACCCAACATTCTAGCTATTGTAAAGGTTTATCCTTATAAGTGAATTCGCCACTACACAGAAAGAATTATTCAAGTACATTGTTCTTGAATTGAGAACAATCGTTCTTAAAAACCGTGTAAGTACATATTGGTATCAATGTTCTCCATATTAGAACGAAATGGTGAGAAGAGAAAAGTTAAATTGAGTTTATTTATTAACTTTTTGATAAGAATACACGACTGACTATTGATAGTTTACTTGTTGAGATATACAATGTAAGTACATTAATAAATAAACCCAATTCAACTTGATTGAATGAAAACTTGAAGAATGAAAATATTTTCAACTTCAAAAATGTCGTTCTGTTTTTAAGAACATTTTGAACTCAGATGAGAACGTCAGTATTTTCTCTGTGTAGTTACGTATAACATGATTTTGATGGGGATTATAGTTTGGAGTACTGAGGTCTTGAACTCACCCTTCTGCAGCTGGCTGGTGGGGATGAACTCCTCGTGCTTCTGGTCGCCCTTCTCCTCGTACTTCAGCTTGTAGTCGGAGTGCTTGCGAAGGGACATGAGGAGCGACTGGGTGCGCGGGGGAATCTCAGGGGGCGCTGGTTCCGGCGGCGGTTCCTCGGATTCCCCGCCGCTACTGCAGTGGCCCACATCCAAAGATCCCAGGCCCAGGACGAACTCATCATCGCCACTGTCCTCCGGCGGCAGCAGGTGTTGTTGCTTCACCGCAGCAATCTGCTGCTGTTGCTGCTGGGCCATCTGGAGTTGCTGGTGGGTCTGGGAGTCGCTGCTGGAACTGGTCATTCCACTGAGGCGATTCAGGGTGTTCCTGGTGTTGCGATGACTCCGATTGCTCGATGCCGCCGTCGAGGAGGAGGCCGAGGATTTAAGGATATTTTCCAGGGCGTTGGCGGCGCCATCCTCGCCGGGAAACTTCGAGGAGCTATTGTTCAGGAAGGGATTCGTGCTGCGCGGCGTGTTGGCAGTGGTCACTCCATTTTGGACGCTGCTGCCGCCGCTGCTGCTGCTGTTGGGAAAGAGCCCCAGATTGGCGTTCGACTGGTACTTGCCCGCCGAGACGGTGGACACCTTAAGCGGTGACCCCGCCATAGTGGCGCGCTGCTGGTGCGGCTGCGCGTAGGTCACCTCGGGGGCGGCCGCCACGGGGGGCGGGCCATCGCCCAGGGGCGTGTCCTCCAGGTGCCGGTCGCGCTGTCTCAGATACTCCGGCTCGCAGTCCGAGTTGTAGTGCTCCATGCCTGGAAAAAAGAAAAATAATACTTTAGTTAGAACTCTTATTATTACAATTCTTAGAATATAATTAAGTATCCTGTTACAAAAGCAAATAAATAAATTAATAAGCATTTAATAAATAAATTCTATGAATGTATTATACATATAGGCCACCAAAAATTATTAGAGCCACTAAATTATCAAGCTTAGATCTGTATGTAAGTGAATTATTTACAAACATTTTAGATATAAATAAATATATAAGCATCAAATAAATAAAATCGATTAATGTTTTATACTTATAGTTCACCATAAACTAATAGAAAAATTAAAATATCTTTTTTTTTAATTACACTACATGTTAATTTTATCATGGGTGAAAGTGAATTGAGTTTCACAAAACACACAAAAATAAACCTTATTGTTTCTTTATCGAAAAAAAACATTTTACATTCAATTAAATACATGACCATATAATAAATAAATTTAAATGTATTTAATTGAATGTAAAATGTTTTTTTTTTCGATAACCAAACAATAAGTATAAAAGAATATATTATACATATATGTCACCAAAAATAATAGAAAACTTAAAGTATCAAGTTTAAATTGCAGAAAAAAATATGTATTTTTAAAATTGTAAGTAAAAAGGATGTTCATTTAACTATTTAAAAAGACCAACAGGAGATTATAGGTTGCTAAAGACTAACAATTTTTAAAAAGTGTTTACATATCCATTATTTTTTAGATTAGCTTAGCTTTATTTTAGTCTAAAATATTTATTTGTAAAAAGATAACTAAAAGTATTAATCTACGTTCTAACCTTCCTAAAAACATATTAAAATATCAAATTTACAAGAATACTCATGTGTATTGTTGTTTTATTTTTCGAGGTATTGAATAGTATTACACAAATTAAAATAGTGGAACAACTATTTACGAAGTTTTTAAATATTTCTTGGTCAGAGAAATACTAACATTACAATTAAAATTGTAGCAATGCTATCCATTTGGTTACATTAATTTTCATCTTTTAAAAATTAAAAATCAGAATTGCTGGACAGTAGGCAATTATTTAGCTCATCGGAAAATCAGAGGCCCCCTTGGCTCAGCAAACATTTTTTCGTCTGTGAATATATATTTTTCAAATAAATCATAAATATCGATGCCAAAATATTTAAGAAATTCCAATTTGCCAAAGAGGAACCTTGCGGCTTGACTGAAATATGTAATCAAGATAGCATTTCGATTGGTTGTATGGCTTTCGCTCTCTTTTTAGACAAATGAATTCGATTGAAAGGCCTTGAAAGGCTGATAGAAGCAATAGTTCCATGTTTCCGTGCCTACACTGCGATCAAACATTTGTGGAGCTCTCTGCGGAGGCCAAACATTTACAATTTCCACGCCGCAGGACGCCGTTTCTGTTTGTTCTGCTGCGTGGAAACTGGGAAATCAGGGAAATCGAGGAAAACATGTTTGGATGGGGAATTGTGAAGGCTGGCTTTTCAATTTTCCCCCGCAAGAATAACGGCCGGCAAACAATTTGAGAGGAATCGTCGCGCCCGTCCGAGCGTTATTAGGTTGTAAAAAATGAATCGTAAATTGCATTAAATATTAACAGACAATAAAACGCTACGGAACAAATGCAGGCGGCCCGTGAAAAGAGCGTTTGCCTCGGTAGTCGCAGCGATTTGCGTTTTATGCTTCGATTAAGTTCGCCCCGGGAAAGTGGGCGGTACGGTGGGAAAACTTCCTTGGGGGGGGTGTTCTGGATAATATCACGGAGGATGTGCCCATTGTATCGCCCATTAGGCCGGCGCTGCCAACTTGATTGTAATTGAATTGCACACTGCTGACGTTCGCGGTGCTGCCACCGGAGTACTGTCAAGTACAGTGAAAACTCGCCCTTAAATTACAGGGTTGTGATCCCTAATTGGTTCACTTTCTATCTTTGTGAAAGGGATACAATAATCTTGCAGACAGTAAAAGTGGAGCTATGCTTTTATTGCACACTTTCTATACTTACAGTATAGATATAATTTTTTAGTCAGTCTGCAAGTTTATTTAATTTACCTTAATTTTTAATACTTATATAATTTTACGTATTATAATAATGGTATTGATACTTCTATTTCTACTAAATTTAGTAATCTATTTTTATTTTGTTCGTGGAATATTTTATACTTGATTAAACATATTAAAGATACTAAATTGGTTCTGAATTTCATAGTTATGAAGTATAATTTTGTATTATTTTATATCAGTGTATAAAAAAAAAAGTTGTTTTATTTAAAATATATAGTATTGAACAGTTTTGTTGAGATTTCTTGTACTTTGGATTTGACCTTAAAACCATTATGATTATTTAATGGACTTATGTAAGTATCAAAAATTGAAAACATGTTCAATATTAAAATATTTCTTGGATTTTAAAAAAATAACGTATCTCGTACGAGATCTTATATATTATTAAAAACATTTTTGAAGTTAAAAGTTTCGTCTAATACATCTAATACATTACTCTGACAACTGTGTGAAGTATGATCTCAATTATTTAGGTTTCACAAAGGCAGAGCCCACTGTGGCTCATCGGTTACATCGGGCGATTTACCGAATTCAATCAGAGAAATGTCAGGAGTGCCCACATACCCCCATCCCTAAATTGTATCTCGGCATCTTGGCCAGCTCCATTTCAATGGCCAGCAATTGGAATCGATTTGTGTGCCTGGTCCTAAGCCAGTCGGTTAGTTGGTTACTGGACATCCTCGACACAGTTGCGGCAGCTGAATAATTCAATTAAATAAAATAATGAATATTTACTAGCTTGACCGACTGGTAAATCGCATTTGGTTCCTAATATCCGTCCAAAGCAAACCCTTCAGATTACACTGAGCCGAAAAATTAACTAGTTATAATGAGGAAAAAAAATGTTAATCTTAAATGATGAATTCTGTAAAACCACTTATTCATGGTGTTAACGACCAAATACTAAAAGTTTCACCTTCGATATTACATAATATTAATATTGCTTAGAATTATTTATATATTTTATTTTAATGGTTCTGATTTTTTATAGTCTTGGATGCAAGTGACTTTAATTATTTTTTAAGCTCCGCAATTTTAATTCTTTCTCTTACAGCTTAAATAAAAGTCGACTGCATTTATTTTTTATATATCTGCACAGATGGAAACATATAAACTTTAATTTGATGTTCATAGGTATAATTGATGTTCCATAAACTTGTAAAAGTAACATTGTAGAATTTATATTGCAAATTGTATTTTTAAGCATTCTCTTAATAGAAATTATACATTTTCGTTATAAATTTAAGAATGTTAGATATAATGTAAAAAAAAATGTACTTGAAACTATAAAATGCTATGCACTAACATGTAAATAAATAAATAACTTCCTTATAAAATTATATATTTAAATCCTTAAGTAAATTATAATTGTAAAAATAAAAATTTCTATACTTAAATAAATAAAACCAATGAAATAGTCATAGACGAACATGCTTAAATTAAAACTTTGGATTTACTTTGTTTTTTTCATTATCACTTTAATTTTTTTCTTTTATAGGTAACAATGTTATAGAACGTTAATAAAATTTTTCGAGTGTATGCTCTTGGGTACTCACTTGCCAATTGCTGACTCTGCAGCAGCAGCTGGGCGAGCAGTTGGGTGTCGAAGGCCGTTGCCGGTCCGGTGTTCTGGTACTCGTCCTCGCTGCTGCTCCCGTAGCCGTGACCCATTCCGTGACCCATGCCGTGACCCAGTCCGGGACTTAGCCCATGGCCATGACCGTGAGTGTGTCGGCCGTGACTGTGCCACTCGGCGGAGCGCTGGCGCCGCAGCTGCTCCCCACCCCCGTTTCCGGATCCGGGCAGTCCTGGCAATCCTGCGAGTCCTGCCAGTCCGCCGGAAGCGTAGTAATATTCGCTGCTGGCAGCACTGCCGCTGCCGACGCGTTTACGGCCAATTGTGCCGGAGTGACTGCTGGACATGATGGCCTAGGAAGTATTGTGGGGAACTCTGGGAACTCTGGAAACTTTGGAAGATCGGATCGGAGCGGTTTCAAACGAGGCAGGTGCAATTTGTCCAGTGGATAAGGATTGTGGCTCCTGTCAACGCAGCATCGCTCCAGCTTCTGCTGGCCAACTGCCAGTCCATGTGGAGCCGGTCGCTTTAAGTGCTTAACCGAATTAACGCTGAAACGATAAAAACGACAAAGTGTCAGGTCAGAGGAGAAGATAAAGCCATAAATGCACGAAAATGAAAATAAATAGCAGCCGGCACCAGGGCATACTATACGTATTTCCCCCCGGTACTTTCACTTTGACTTCTGGACGTAAAGTGAACTTAATAGCAATTGCTGGGAGGCATCCCATTCCCATTTCCTATTGCCCAGGACCATTTACCAGAGACCAGTGTTGCCCGCCAAGGATTACAGAAAGTAGCCAAGTAAGATATACAAAGTAGTTAGGGAATGTTGGGTAAAATTAAAAACTATGTCCAAAAACAATGTAAACAAATTTTTGCCCAAAAGTATGCAATAAGTAATGGCTAGTCTTCATTTTGAATGAATTCCGTGTTTAAATATATTGTTGCATACTTTTAGGCATCCAGAAATATAATTTTTAAGTGATTTCCAGTGATAATTTTTGTTGCCCCGTTCAACTTCTTTTAATATATAATATAAATACATATTTTTTTTCGTTGCCACTTTTGAAAGCTCCTCCATCTCAAGTAATAAATATTTAAATGTATCCATATACAAAAAAATAACCTGAAGTTTGGCTATAAAACCGTCAAGTTGGCAACGCATTTGGCCAGCTTTCTGTTTATGGCTGCTTCCCTGGGTTAGACAGACAATTTGACTTTTGATTTTGATGAGTGAGCATTTGAATGCACTAAAACACAGGGGAAAAGGGCTGGTAGCTCAAGTGGGTCATTACTGGCAGCCTCAGCACGATGCGGGTTAAGGCTGTCTGCTCAATGGCCACGCAAACGATCAAAAGGACACGAGGCACAGAGGTTATCCCTGCAGAGGACTTAGCCTTACCGAGAACTCAAGGGTTGTGTGCGTGGCAATGTTATCATTTATAGGCATCCAGAGAGGGGACTCAGTCGAAGGACCTCCAAGTATAGTGGCACATCGGAATTCCTTTTGTGGACTTTCAAAAATTACAACTTACTGCTCAATGTTTTCGGTTTTAGAATATTTAAAAATGCCAAATCAATATGCCACCAATTATTATAAATTTTTTAACTAAATAATTTAAGCATTATCAGAACAAAGTTATTTTTTAGATGTAAGCAGCTATTTTGAATAAACTTGATAAATATAATATAGAAAAAAATATTCATCAAGATGTTTTTGAAAAGATTACTTCTTTTACCAATTTAATTTTAGTAATTTTTAATTTATTACATATTGTTTTAAAAATATTTTTAATATTAAATGTAACACAAATAATTTAAAAATGATTTATAAGATATTTAAGTTCCCTCTTTCTCTTAAAATTTGTATTATTTTGTAATATTTTCACATCCCAAACCAACAAAAATATATTCCAATTGAAAGGTATAACCTGTCTTCGTAAACTAGCAAAGCAAACTACTCAAACAAGTGTGTAATATGAAACTCAAAGAAAAACAACAGCCAAAGGAGGAAAATGATTGCAAGATGGCCAGAGTGCTACAATTTACTCACTTTATGCGAAAAGCTGAACCCTTTTTTTTTTGGCTTTTTTCAGCAGTAATTTTCCAGAGACTGGCAGAATGGAAAACTATGGGCAAACAGGACATGCCCACTCCCCTTAAGAGTGTTGTAAAATGGTGTAACCGACTGCCTGGCTTCTTGGGTAAACAGAACTTAATCGAATGCAACTGCACTTGCAGGCGAGTTCAAGTCAAGTCGCATTCGTATCGCCTGCTGTGACTCATGGAACTATTTTTCCACCTCTCCCGGGTACCCCGCCCACACATTACCCCGCCCCCCCAGTGCACTTTTCTCCATTGGCAAATGCACAATTTGGCCTGCAAAATGCATATTTGTGGCATCCATTTGTATGGCTTTGTTGGTCTGTAGTCCGAACCGAAAGATAATCAAATACGCATTTCTCTTTCTCTGGCTGCCACACTACCGTTCTCCCTCTAATGAACGGGGGCCAGAGTTGCCAACTTGACCTTATTTCCTTTTAATAACGAGGATATTTTCAAGGGTTGCAACGTATTCGTTTATTTTTATTTCGGTTTTGAGAAGACTTAACGTAATACACAAAATGTCCTATTTCTAGATGGGATGTTGACATAAAAAGGTTCTTCAACTTGGCCAGAGTTGTCAGCTTTGGTTTATTTTTCGTGGGTATTGACATATTCATAAAGATATATTATTATATATATATATAATATTATTAAAATATTCATAAAAAATATATTACGTTTATTATTTCTTGTTAAGAAGAAGAATAGGAATTTAGGCTTACATTATAAACATATAAGGGTTTCTCAACTTGGCCAGTGCTGCCAACTTTTGATAGTTTTTCGGGGAAATTTAGATATTTTTATAAAATATATTCATTTTACTATGCCTACTTAAAAATATATAGAACTTTAATTTATGATAAAATTATAAGCATTCTATAAAACAGAAATTTTAAAAAAACTTAAGGAACTCGAGTAACATAGTAAAGGTTTTTCATAGCCGAGAATAATGTGTTATGTTTCTCTCTATGTAAACCACAATTTGGCTTTTAATCTTGGCAACACTGTTGATGGCTAGGCCCAAATGGAAAAACTGCTCAGCATCAATTGCAATTTTAAAGTGAAGCCTTGCATCGGCTGCAACGAAACTTTGCTAACGAATTAAGAGCAAAATATTATATGCCTGGCAAAATGTTGCATAAGGAGCAAGGGGGGTAGCTCGGTGCCTCTGGAAGGGGCAGATTCCAGGAAAAAAAAATGGGGGCTTGGGTGTTGCGGGGTGCACGCAATTATTTTGCATGCTCCATTTTAACAATTTGGAGAAAGAAATGTGAGCCAGTGAAATGCGAAAATGAATGAATGAATGGGCGACTGAATGCCAGCTCCATCCCGCTTCCACTTGGCGGCGGAAAGTGGGGCATTAAAGCCTAGAATCCGACATTTTCATATGCATGCTTAAGTACGTCGAGTGCCAGTGCCAGAACAACAAAAACATCAGCAGCAGCAGCAGCAGCAGCGACAACAAAATGCCACAAGGAGCCAAGAAAATATTGAGTTAACCCGAGCACTGCTGCCCTAAAAGTATGCAATGAAATGTTATTTTCCTCATTTCCACAAAAACTTTCTCGCCCGCCCATCTTAACCCCCCCGAAAGGCAACCCTCCTTTAACTTTAACCCCCACCGCGAAACTTCACCGCGTTGCAGCTGCTGTTTGCGATGGTTTCCTCCGGTCTGCTCTTAAATTAAAAGAGGTCCAGGAAGTTCACTCAGGCAACGACTTCAAAGAGATAATAATTGTACATGGAGTGGTTATATTAAATTTGATTTTTGTTTTCAAGTATTAAAAACAAATGATAAGTCTAATTAATATTGAAAAAATCATTTTAAATTCTTAAGCTACAGAAGTGACTTACAAAGGTGCTTAAGAGTATGCAATGTAATCTATTTCTAAACACGCAGCCTTTTTATTGCCTACTTTTCGAAACTTTATATATTTTTTTTAATTTTTTGTGGGAGAAAGAATAATTTAGCACTCTCATTAACAAGTTAAATCTATTCCATGAAAGGACATGAGTGGAAGTTTTAAATTTGATTTTTGTTTTTAAATATTTTTAATAAAATGTGATTGATATTGCAAAAATCTTTACAAATTCATAAGCTACAGAAATGACTTACAAAGGAGCTTAAAAGTGTGCACAATATTCTATTTCTAAACGTGATTCCATTTCACTGCATACTTTTAGGCAGCTTTATATTTTTTCATATTCTTTGTGGCAGAAAGAATAATTTAGGACACTTATTAACAAGTAAAATATATTTCATGGTTACATTAACTTTGATTTTTGATTTTAAATATTAAATTTTATAATTGAATTGATTTTAAAAGTGAATTAATATTGAACAAAATCATTGCAAATTCACAAGCTACAGAAATTACTTACAAAGGTGCTTAGAAGTATGCAATACTATCTATTTCTAAGCAGGCATACCTTTTCACTGCATACTTTTAGGCAGCTTTCTGTTTTTCATGTTATTTGTAGGAGGAAGCATAATTTAGCACACTCATTAACAAGCAAAATCTATTGCATGAAAGGACTTGTCAAAACTTGATTACTCTTAATCTTCCCCATAATACCTCAACGATTTGTTTGTCTCGCGACACATTTGCCTAACCACTGTTTCGTTCGCCTTTGACACTTAATGAATTATAAATTGAGATGGGGCTTAACCTTTTGTTTGTCATTCCGCCTTCGATATAGCCCCATTTGAATTCAGCATTTTTGCTCTGTGGCTCTTCATAGGACGCATTTCCTCTGACATCAATCGCATTTCATTGTTTCAGCCGCAATAGTTATGCAGACGAGTGTGTAACAGATATGTACATATGTGTATGTGTATGCCTGGATATAGAGTACTTTATGTGGCATTTCGAATGCTCTGGCTGGGGGTTCTTCCATATATATACTACGTATATATCCAATGACAATGGAAAATGGCACTGCGTACCACAAGCTCTCTATGCCCTCTTTTTCGTGCTGTTGTCAACCGCAAAACGTTTAATTACATGTCAAAATGCGAAATGCATTGAACAAGACAGGAACCATAACACTCTGCCACGCCCCGTTACGCCCCGAATTTCCCCTTTTCCATTTTCCACTTCCTCCAGCATCCAAGCACTTCCTGAGCCGCTGCGTCATCATCAGCGTTGTTTTATAGATAAAGCAGCGTTACAGCTCCAAATTTCGTATTATGAGTGAACATGCAAAAACAACCTCATTACCAACACAGAACATAGGCCAAAACATGACGCACACACTTGTGAAGCAGCTAAACCCCCTCCCCCAAATAACACCCTCTGGAAACATCACCCATGCCAGAGAGGCAGGGGCGTAGTTTTTCGGGGGAAAGCCGAAAGGTTTTGATGGCAAATTTCAAAACACAGGCTGTCACAAACGTGCCGCAAAACAAAACTCATTAAGAGATAATAAAATAATAAATATA